GATACGTGAGTGGGGGATGAAGGATACGTGAGTGGGGGATGAAGGATACGTGAGTGGGGATGAAAGATACGTGAGTGGGGGATGAAGGATACGTGAATGGGGATGAAGGGTACGTGAGTGCGGGATGAAGGATATGATAGTGGGGGATGAAGGATACGTGAGTGGGGGTTGAAGGATACGTGAGTGGAGGATGAAAGTACGTGAGTGTGGGATGAAGGATACGTGAGAGGGGGATGAAAGATACGTGAGTGAGGGATGAAGGATACGTGAGTGGGGGATGAAGGATACGTGAGTGGGGGTGAAGGATACGTGAGTGGGGATGAAAGATACGTGAGTGGGGATGAAAGATACGTGAGTGGGGGATGAAGGATACGTGAATAGGGGATGAAGGATATGATAGTGGGGGATGAAGGATACGTGAGTGGGGGTGAAGGATTCGTGAGTGGGGGGTGAAGGATACGTGAGTGGGGAGTGAAGGATACGTGAGTGGGGGGTGAAGGATACGTGAGTGGGGAGTGAAGGATACGTGAGTGGGGGGTGAAGGATACGTGAGTGGGGAGTGAAGGATACGTGAGTGGGGGGTGAAGGATACGTGAGTGGGGAGTGAAGGATACGTGAGTGGGGGGTGAAGGATACGCGAGTGGAGGATGAAGGATACGTGAATGGGGGATGAAGGATACGTGAATGGGGGATGAAGGATACGTGAGTGGGGGATGAAGGATACGTGAGTGTCGTATAAAGGGTAGGTAAGTAGGGAATAAAAGATATGTAAGGCGTGAATTAATGACGAGCATGCTACGTGCCCCTCACTGCTACGTGCCCCTCACTGCTACGTGCCCCTCACTGCTACGTGCCCCTCACTGCTACGTGCCCCTCACTGCTACGTGCCCCTCACAGCGACATCCTAGCCTCTCACCACTCGGACGCAGACTCTGTGGAAGTATTCAGCTGCTCGCTGACCTGCACATATATTTTTCATCTTAATAATCCTGTCGCAGTTATAACAGGGGGTTCAAAAAATTGATATTTTATACGACCATGTGTATCGAACTCGTAAAATGTCATCAGCAGCAACTTGCTTTAGATTTAATTAACTCTTACGAACTTGCGAAAGGCGTGTAGACGTTACAAGAGGTACTCACGAAGGGCGTGTAGACGTTACAAGAGGTACTCACGAAGGGCGTGTAGACGTTACAAGAAGTACTCACGAAGGGCGTGTAGACGTTGAGGGAGAGGCAGTCCTCGCTGGTGTGCAGAAGGTAGTCCTGCACGAGGTAGAGCCACGGCTCCTGCGCTTCCTGCTGCACCGACGCCGACCCGAACGATCTGGCGGGGCAGCGCGGCTATTAATTAACTGTAATATTAATTGATTGTTTGATTAATTACTTGATAAATTAATTATTAAATTAATTGAATAAATAGTTAGATAATTATGGCTAATAACACCCATCAGGGGCAGAAATAAATATTTTTGTTCGCAACTCAAACGTGTGGCCATCATCCACACGTCATACACTACATCAGGTCCCACCTGTTGGGCTGCGGGGCCATCATCCACACGTCGTACACTACATCAGGTCCCACCTGTTGGGCTGCGGGGCCATCATCCACACGTCATACACTACATCAGGTCCCACCTGTTGGGCTGCGGGGCCATCATCCACAGGTCGTACACTACATCAGGTCCCACCTGTTGGGCTGCGGGGCCATCATCCACACGTCGTACACTACATCCTGTCTCTTATACACATCTAGATGTGTATAAGAGACACGTCGTACACTACATCAGGTCCCACCTGTTGGGCTGTGGGGCCATCATCCACACGTCGTACACTACATCAGGTCCCACCTGTTGGGCTGTGGGGCCATCATCCACACGTCGTACATGTGCGGCTGGAGGCACGAGGGCCCGAAGTTGGTCGCGTCATACACGCCCTCCCAAGCCTCCGCTGCTTCGGGCGCCTGCACACAAATGAACTCGTAAATAAAAAGTTATTGATAGATTATATATTCCAGTATTTGTAGTGAGTAATAGTAATTGTTATGGTCAGGTGCTGTTTCACCAAAAACCGCTCAAGTACACGTGGCTGCCGATGGCTCGTCCGTGATTGGGGGGTTCAGCTTAGAATGCCGTCAGTGGTTTTTAATAAGACGATTGCTTACGCTGCCAGAAGCGGTATTCTACAGCCATCTCGAGGCACTTAGTGGAGCTTCTGTTGCGAGTCTCGGTAAATAAACAGTATAGATTATTGTACGTTATACAGTATAGTATAGCTCAGGTCAGCGTTAATAAGGCCGTTAGATCTGTAGCCGATACTGAACATTGCAGAATTTTCACAGTATGTTGTGGGTCTCGAACACGCAACTCACAGCTCCAATTTTGCTGTGTTTTACCACCCGGCCTCCTCGCCGATTTGACCAGAACAGACGCAGGTACCTATGATCGAACCCACAACTTTTTGCTCCTGTCTTGGTACTCGAACTATAAACACTGGGCCACCCTGCCCCAGCCATCCTGCCTGCGTCCAGCGGCCTGCCAAAATTTGCTGTGGGAAGCAAAACTGACAGACACTGCAAAACCTATCCTGGACTAACGACCCCATGCACGCCAACAAATTGACGAGCCCCAGCACGGACCACATGAATCGACGAAACTTCGATGAGGACCACCCCAGTCTAAACACGCCCAGATCGATCGAAAAGGGCTGTGTCCCACTTCTTGGCCCTTTAAAAGATCAATTCAGCGAAAATGGAAGCCGCTGCCACACCCATTAATTGGCAGCGGTTGGCGGTTGCTAAACCTTTATTTAACAAATCTTGCATCATTTGCTAAGCATCTGCTGATTTCCTTTTGAATGAATTTATTCCAATCCTCTTTTTCGGAACTTTGCACTAGTTTATACAAACCCACACTATCCCTATCCGACGAAACCGTCACGGATCCGACGAAACAGCCGTATATAGTCGACGAAGTATCCGAAGAAACAGTCGCAGATCCGACGAAATAATCCGACGAAAGAGTCGCGGATCCGACGAAAGAGTCGCGGATCCGACGAAACAGTCTAATATTCGACGAAACAGTCGCATAGCCGATGAAACAGTAGAGTATCCGACGAAACAGTCGCGGATTCGACGAAACCGTCGAGTAGCTGACGAAACAGTCACGGGTCTGACAAAACAATCGCGAAAATTCTGATCCAATATCATCAAGTTTCTATACTTTTTTCGTGAAAAAGTAGAAAGTGCGTCCATTTTGTTGCCAGAGATAGTGGCATGATAACGGGGTCTTGAACAGGTGATGCAGTTGGCGGTTTTGCGTGGATATTGTAGTTACCGCATATGGTAACATACCATATGTTATCATAACGATAATTTATCATACATGAGTTACCATAAACGGTAACTTAACACATGTTATCATTAATTGCAATTTACCATAAGCTAGCATAAATGATGATTTGCATGCCAAAGGGATGACGAAGGCGCTGGGGAAGGAGTTGCATGAGGGAAGAAGCGTTGAGGGAAGAAGGCACTAGAGGAAGTGGCAGGGAAATGAATTGATGGCATCGGGCGGCGCTGATTTGGCCGCCGCATCTTCAATTTAAAAGCAATGATTGAAACTTCAGGCCCGCGGCACAGCCCCCTGAAATGGGGTACGTAAATAGGGGTCTAAGGATATAAATGGGCGGGTCTTGTGACATAAATAGGGTGTCTAAGGACATAAAACGAAAAAGTCTGGAACTCTAATAGGCTCTAATAGGCTGCGACGTGTGAACTCTAATAGGTGGGTCTGAGGACATAAATTGGTGGGTCTGAGGACATAAATTGGTGGGTCTGAGGACATAAATTGGTGGGTCTGTGGACATAAATTGGTGGCTCTGAGGACATAAATTGGTGGGTCTGAGGACATAATACCATCGAACGCGTAGCAATACCATCGAACGCGTAGCAATACCATCGAACGCGTAGCAATACCACTAAAGGTATATCAATACCATAAGCATAAAGCAAGGCTAACCCACTTGACTCGCTAACAAATCACGCCACATTCTTAGAGCCTCACGCCGAGCCTGGCGTTGCGGTGGTCAGCGTCATGTGGTTCTTATTCACTTCAATTGATCGAGGTAGGGGATCATTTAAACCATGAACATTTTCTGCGACTCCAAGTATATTCATGATACTCGTGAACTCAATATGACGTCTTCCCGACACTCATGTAATCGATATGAAGTCTCCCCAACACTCTGGTACTCGATATGACGTCTTCACGACACTCCACCTATATCCTATAAACCTAATATCCGTCAAGACACAGTCATTCCTCAGGTACAGTTCAGTGAGTAACAACCGCTCCTCAGGCACAAATCATGCAGTAACATAGTCATTCCTCAGGCACAGATAAGTCATTCCTCAAGCACAGGGCTCGCTTCATGCTCTGAGTTCTTGTTAGCCTCGCCCTCCTGATACGCCGTGACAGCTCAAGGGCTCCCCAGCCCACTAGACCTGAGGGTGCGACGACCCCCAACCCGACCCTATGGAGACCTCCAACCCAACCCTTTGGAGACCCTCAACCCAACCCTATGCATACCCTCAACCCAACCCTATGCATACCCTCAACCCGACGTTATGGAGAAATCCCAACCCGACCCTATGGAGACCCTCAACCCTACCCTATGGAGATCCCCAACCCTACCCAATGGAGACCTCCAACCCGACCCTATGGAGACCCCCCGACCCTATGATGACCTGCCAACACTTAGGCGCAGGTTGTGCTGGTGGCACAGGCTGCGCAAATGCAGCAAATGGCCAACGCTTGACCGGCGATTCTTCCGCGTCGGTGTTCAATGAACGGACAACTCTCGCTTATCAGCCGCCACCAGCGCATGGCTTTCCCTTCACCCTGGTCCCTTTACCCTCACCCGTTCCCTCATATTACAGCCTTCAACCACCTCCACCTCCGCCACACCACCACCCTAAACCACCACCGCCGCCACACCACCACCCTCAACCACACCACCACCCTCCACCACACCACCACCCTCAACCACACCACCACCCTCAACCACACCACCACCTCCGCCACACCACCACCCTAAATCACCACCGCCGCCACACCACCTCCACCCTCAACCACACCACCACTCACTCCTGAAGATGGCATGAAAGGCAGCACGCTGCCCTCGTAAAGACACGCGTTTGATAGGCTTTCAAAAAATTTGAAGCGCTCTTAACTGCATCTTCGTTGCGCCCTTAGCAGGGACGTTATAGATGCCAGCTTAGGATATTGATAGTAAGCCATCTCAGGATATTGATAGTAAGCCAGCTTAGGATATTGATAGTAAGCCAGCTCAGGATATTGATAGTAAGCCAGCTCAGGATATTGATAGTAAGCCAGCTCAGGATATTGATAGTAAGCCAGCTCAGGATATTGATAGTAAGCCAGCTCAGGATATTGATAGTAAGCCAGCTTAAGATATTGATAGTAAGCCAGCTTAGGATATTGATAGTAAGCCAGCTCAGGATATTGATAGTAAGCCAGCTTAGGATATTGATAGTAAGCCAGCTTAGGATGTTGATAGTACGCCAGCATAGAACTGAAACTTTATGGTGTAAGTCAGACTCACCCGAAATGTCGTGAGTTGGACTCACCCGGAACCACATGTCGTGAGTTGGACTCACCCGGAACCACATGTCGTGAGTTGGACTCACCCGGAACCACATGTCGTGAGTTGAACTCACCCGGAACCACATATCGTGAGTTGGACTCACCCGGAACCACATGTCGTGAGTTGAACTCACCCGGAACCTCCTGTCATTAATGGGTGGCTTGGCGTAGTTGATGCCAAGGAAGCGGGATCCTGTAGATCCGTCCGGCATCCTGAAGATCTGTCCTCGGATCGCACCGGCGGAGGAGCGGAGAACCACATCGCCGCGCGCAGAACTGCCGATACTCCCGACAACACACGGTGTGAATGGCGCCAACATCAACACTGACGTCAACATCACTGAAGCCAACATCATTAACAGTGATGTCAACACCACTGAAGCCATCACCACACAATCTCAAAGAACTGCTCGAACGCCACACGAGAAACGTTGCGTGTTCGAAGTCTATAAATTAGAGTTTAATTTCAACTCGTTAGCTCATGCGTCAAGCGAATTTCTTCACAAGCAGAATAAGGTCACTGCGCCCTTAGGTTTTGTATACTATGAAGACTATAAATTCTAAATGTAGTCTAGCAGCAAAATTTAAAATATTAATTTTTAAATTACTGGAAACAAAAATGGACGATAAATATTCATAGACACAAGTTGTCTGAATTTATATTTTCACCCTGAATGGGTTCACTGAGAACCCGAGAAAATGAGAAATAATTTGCATGACATACCTCGCACATTCTTCACTCTAACTCGCATTCTTCACTCGCACATTCTTCACTCTTCACTCTAAGAAAACCGCCGAAAATAAATCTAGAACCACTTTCACCAAAAGCCAGTAAACATTAAAAATAATCAAGCTTCAGATTATAAGACAGATGAATATAACGTCAGATTAGAGACACAGTGGTGCTCGTTGTGGCTTAAGTGGACTGCCACGATCAGGTTCCTGAGTAAACTTTCATATGCTATTAGAATTGTTAAATGAAATGAAGAGTGCGGAATGAATCAGGATTGTTCGTCTATATGGATGGATATATGTGAGATTCGCTGATGTTCAGCGGCAAAATGCTCATTAATTTGTGACTTAAGAACTCGTATCAGTAAAAGGACGCTAAGGCGGAAATTAGACTAACAGAAGTTGCAACGAAACTTCAAACAGAGGCAATAACGCTGGAAACAGAGGCAATAACTCCACCAACAGAAGCAATAACGCCAACAACAGAAGCAACAACGCCATCAACAGAGGCAATAACGCCGGAAACAGTGGCAATAACTCCACCTATAGCGGCCAAAACTCCACCAACAGAGGCAATAACGCCACCAACAGAAGCAATAACGCCACAAACAGAGGCAATAACATTGGCAACAAAGGCAATAGCACCAGCAACTAACTAGGAAGGAATGTAGCGTCCTCCACATTGATGCATCACAGCAGAAGGCCGCATTAGAACAAGCGACGCTTCAAAGAAAATTACCAAGGAAGTTTTGCACAGTCGCACTACTCGCTCGATTGCCAACCAGGGAAATGGCGAGTCTTCTGTTTCCTTGCCATAAAATTGGGGAAAAACACATGAAAATGTTGGGCAACTAATTCTGGTAATGGATGTCGAGAGTGTACCGGTGTTTGGGCCAGATTCTGGATTAAAAATATAGACTTTTACCAGTTGTGCCCTTAGATTTTCTAATAATTGTTTTAAAAAGTGAACATTATAAGCACGCTTCACAAATTCTAACAAACAAGTAACGCACGTTTTTCAATGGAGACACTCAAGTTAACTACAAATCTGCAGAGGTTATACCAAACTCGCATACCGCTCCTGAGCGCCATTTCTGAACCCATTACCTTCAGCTTCATTCAAATTTTAGTTCGTCGTTCGCCAGTCGTTCAGCGCAAACTTTTCATCACGACTGCCATACCTCGTGCCATTAAAATCGTAATGAACTTTTTTATTAACCTTTATAAGTCACTACTCAAAATCTGGACAAAAATATTACCGAGGTTATCCCGTTATCAATATATAACCAATTTCAACAGAAATTATAGAATGAATATGTAAAATGAATGACTCGGTTCATATGCGATAAAGTGTTCAACTTTACGTAATTTCTGGCACAGATTGGCGACCAAGTTGCTTAAACAATGAGTGGTCGCTAAATTATTATAGATGTATTGGATTCGAAAACCATGAAGTTTTTTTTTAAATCTTGCTCAGTATTGTGTAATTTGTAGGAAATCTAATAATGGTGAATCAATCTTCTTATTGAACGCGAATCTTTCTTGAAACGTGCAACAGTATTATACTACTAGATCAGAAATTTAAGATGTTTAGTGTAAAAATTATATTTATGTTTCACTCTATTATTAATAAAAATAGCAAGCTTCATGTAACCTATGAAAGTTGTTTACAAATGAGGTTGACAGCTGAGCGTAGAGCAGTGCGCCATCTATTTTTTTTAAAAGCCGGAATCACAAAAAAAATTCTACCACCACAGATCAGGTCCCACTATCACGTCGCCGGCTTCAAATAGGAACCTTATCTCCTAAATACTTCCTATCTAATCAATTATATATTTATTATCGAAGTTTGTGAGTTTGCAGACTGGAAATGTGAATAGAGGGGATGTCGATTCCAAACTCTTACGCATTTCCAGGATACTCATCGTGTCGGGATATTACCTGGTAATTAATATTCTTTTCAGTCCTATAATTGATGCATTGAAAAATTTTTATATCTAGGGTCGACAAATAATTATAATATCTGCAATTTTATAATCCAGTTACCCCGAATCCCGTTTAGAATAAAATTGATGCATGTTAATTAGAGATAAAACGTTCAATACGATATTTTACAGAAATGAAAAACTCACATTTTCCCCATGTTTAACAATTCCAGTGAATTTAAATACGTCAATTAAAAAAAAATATTCATTATTGTTCAACCATCCATTACTTTCCTCCCAGAATATCAAAGCTTTTAGATTTTACATTATATATGTAGAGATTTTCTGGTCCAGCTAATATCCCGATTGAATCGAGGATACGCGCCCGAAAAGCCCCTATATACTAAAAAAATAAAACTCAGTACTCACTGCAGTGAGTGACAGAGAGCGCATTTTCTCGTCGACGAAAACTTGAGGTCACGGACAGACGGACGGACAGACGGACAGACAGACAGACAGACGGACGGACGGACATGGCGAGCACAATAGTGCATTTTTTTCCATAAATGAGAAAATGCGCTAAAAAGCCCTATACTGAAATTAAATTTTACACAAAATTTCACTGCAGAATGTAATTTGGAGATCCGTGCAAAATGTCTGTTGTTTCACCGAGCCTTCCCTAATTGCAAAATTATTAACTGGACCGGAATTATGAGGTCCGGTGTGATGGGGTCCGGTGTGATGGGGTCCGGTGTGATGGGGTCCGGTGTGATGGGGTCCGGAGTGATGATGTCCGGTGTGATGGGGGTCCCGTGTGATGGGGTCCAGTGTGATGGGGTCTGGTGTGATGGGGTCCGGTGTGATGGGGTCCGGTGTGACGGGGTTGGTGGCAGTGCGCGCAATGAGGACCATTTTCCACATAAAGCATTAGGCCCGTGTGCATTACTTGAGTTTACAATCTTTTATGATTTAATTCCATATTATGACATTATGACATACATCGATTAGTTTGAGATGCATTCCTGTCGCCATTGGCCGAGTTTCCCTAGACACTAACTAGCAATGTTCATAAATTGAAAACGGGATTTTTAAATTTTCGTAATAACTGGATTCTTGAGCCTCGGGACAAGGGGATTCTTGGATCTTGGAATTGCGGGATTTCTAAATCTCAGAATAACATGATTCTAGAAGCTCAGAATAGCGGGATTCTTATATTACAAGAATCATCTCCAACAGGTAGCGCAAGCTAATCTGCTACGGTCTAACTACTAAGGTATGGCGACAAAAAAGTTTTCATCTAACCGTTCTAACATCGAAAAATGCACTTAATGGAAGTAAACTTGAAAAAAAAAACATTTAAAATCACTGTATACAGCGAATTCAAATCTTCCAATTCTCATGTTCGAAATTTCCTGTATATTTTTCAAAGTTTCTGTGTTTGAAGCTTGCCAACCAAAAATATATAGGCTCATATTAGGCTGTTGGGTTGCGTTCCGTATCAGCTGGATCTGAAATTTAATTCTAAGTGCTTGAATTTTAACACATTTCAAGACAAGGAGGAAGAAGGGCGAATTCTGATATTCAAGTTTAATCTCTATTTAGGTGCACAAATTTTCATTAAGTCCTAAAAAAGTTAAAATTTATTCGAAATTCGAACCGATAGTTGCTATATGGGAGTATAGCCGGAGAAATGTTGGTTGGAACGACGCATCTTTCAATAACGTTCGTTGACTCACTAATGAATTATATATTATGAGACAAGAAAGTCTTCACGTTTATGGGCAATGATCACATTAACACTAAAACACCACAAAATGCATTCTGACCAATCACATCGTATGCATTTGGTAATTGAATTGTCGAAGTGCGGTAACAAGTAACTGTGACATTAATACGGTCAATGAGCAGTAAGAAGTTTCCAGTAACATAAATTAGTTTCATTACCACTGAGAATTTCGGCAACTACACGAATTTCAAAATTTTCACCTACGAAAGCACATTACATTACGGATTTATGGGTATGGTAGAAGTTAAAACCTTAAGCGGGTCATCTACATTCTACAATATTGTTAAATTAGAAAATAGGTATTTGTAGAGTAATGAAAATCCATCACTAGACTGATTTGTTTCAACTCAAATTTATCTCGTGGTCGTGGAAGAAAAAGAGTTCAACTTGAAGCTTCGTTACTCAGGAATCTAGCTTCACTTAAAGAGCGTCACGTTAGCCCGGCACTCTAACTGACCGATGGCGCGAGACTGAGAATCTTTCGAACAAATGCACGGGGCAGAAGTAGTGGTAGCAACAGCTGACAATTTTTAGGATAGTATTCCGGAAATTAGAGCATTGGTTCAACAACGATAAATTTGCTTAAATGTTGAGAGACAAAACTTATGAGAAAAGTAGTATCACAAATTTCTAATAAATAATTTTTATCTTTTCATGACTCGTTTATCGGACGGATTAGGCAGCAGCTTATGACGCATCAGTACGGTGTTTTCTCTTCAGAGATCCTTTAAGGCCTAGATACTTGAAATCAGACGAAAGACGAATAAATTGAACCACTGATAAATGCCCTACATCATCTTTAGATCAAATGATCCGCGAAGCTCGTTTGCCTTTTCCTTAAAAGCGAATTGTCGAAGACGGATGTTTAACATTGTCAAAGTTAGATCCTTCTAGAAAATTGGTTATACCATCTTCCTGCAAACATGACTCCAGGGCTGCTCGAGTAGCGTACTTATGTTGGAAGTTCTTTAACCCAAAAATCTTTGGCTGTCGCTGAAACTCTTCATGCTAATCATTTAATTGTTTAGTGAACACATAAATATAAGTGCGATAGTGAACACAAATATCAAGCGACCTCTCTAAAAAGTACATTTGTTTCTTTAAATTCCGTTTCTCCTTCACTTCAGGTGCCGACTTTCAGGACGTCATCATTGCGTTG